TAGCAACTTTATATAAAAGTTAATACTCTAATTAGAATTGGAGGAGAGACATATATACATGTGTACACACACAGAAGTGATTCTCATTACTTCTGATGGGTATGTTCTATAAAAGTCCTAGGAACATTGAATTACGGGATCCTGAACCATTACTTCTAAGGGAAACACAGGGTTAGGCTTCTGTGAACCTTTGTTCACAAAATTTTTTTCAACCAATCAGTGCATAACCTTAATCTGTGTGTTACTGGAAAACACCATATTTAGTATGCACTGTATTGGGCCTCACTAACATTGCACTTGTGGCCAACAACATTCTAAGTCATGTCTGAACTAAGCTTATGGAACACGGGTATTCTCTCCAATAGACATATCACAGCCTTCTTGCATATAGGAACCCTGGATACCACTTTAGCCTATCCCTGGGGGCCGAGTTAAACAATGAAATCAGCTACAAAGTTTTCCAAAAGTGTATTTACAATTTGGAAGTTGAAGCAGTAAAATACAGCAGTGTCTTGTTTGACCTAGCAGGAAACATGTGCCTAGGGCAACTCAAATTCTTTGTTCCTGACATAGTTTGCTACATATTCTACTGTAATATCCTAAGAATTATCTACATAAAAGTATTTGGTATAACCTAGAATTTGGTGAAATAGCTATATCTTTCCTGAACTCCTCCCCTCTGAGAAGTAAATTATTTGAATGGAAGGTGTAAATCTATGTCTCTAGCAAATAATGAAATATTTTAACCATTCAGCATTGTCTAGGTGTGAGAATCTTATATTCTCTGGGGAGGCCCTAGGGGGGGAAGGTAATAATGTACCAGTTTGTACATAAAGGCACTGATTTTGCCCTTGGCTCCCACTCCTCTCTTTCTTTTTGTTTCTTTTTTATTTATAAAATTATCTCCCTTATCTGTGGCTTGTCTTCCCATGGTTTCAGTTGCCTAAGGTCAATTGTAATCTTAAAAATAGTTAGTAGAAAGCTCCAGAAATAAATAACTTTTAAGGAAGTTTTACTGAAATAAGTTGCTACAATTATTCTGCTACTGTTGTTAATCTCTTACCGTGCCACATATAAATTAAGCGTTATCATGGGTATGTATGTATAGGAAAAAACACAGTATATTCAGGGTTTCCGCATCCACTAGGGGTCTCGGATTGTAACCACAGCTAAGGGAGAACTGCCGTAGATGTAAATGTTACAGCCAGTTGAGTTCTCTTCTAATGGAGTTTCTCTCCCCCAGGTGGAGGCTTGAACGATGGACAGTGGCACTCCATCTCCCTATACGCGAAAAGAAATCACCTGAGTTTGACGGTAGACAGCCACCTGACCTCCGCTTCTCCTCTGCTGGGGCCTGAAATTTATTCAGGTGGCACTTATTATTTTGGAGGTAAGAAGAAAGATGGAGCCACATGGGCAATGAGGCTTCATCTTCATTTGCCGCTCCTGTGTCTTGGGGAAGTCCTTGTGCTTTAATCCATGCTCATACTAAGGAATAATTTCTCTCTTTAAACACAGAAATGTAGAGTGGCTCAAGATGACAAATCATAATCCAAAATGCATTTCTACAAGGTGGACTTATGTTTCCGATTTCTGCAATGAGATTTATTTTAGGTTGGCCACATTCTTCAGTTCTTACCTTCAAGCCTTGCTCTATTTTCCTAATGTTAGACGGCCCCTGTACATTGTCTTCTGATTTTATTGGTTGATTTTATTGCAGTGTCTTCCCTATCAGACCTTTTAGTTCCCCTGGAGCATCCTTGTTACTTTCCCACTGCCCAGTGCAGGACAATATTACGCCAGTGCACAAATAATTTAACTTAATTAGCCGTAGTGATCTCGTCCCTTTGCTAAACAATGATGCACTGATACACTTGATGAAATCAAGATATTAGCCTTCACCATCAGGCCTTTTACTTTGAGAACTAGAACAAATGAATCCTTTCCTCATCCCATGGATGTTTCATTGGACTGCGAGCTCGGAAAAGAAAATTTGAGAAATAGAAATGAATACTTGCCACTGGAAAGTGGAAACAAAATGTTCTCTGACATTAGAAATGCAGTGGTAAGATTGTTAGTAGTAAGACATTTCCCTTCAAGATATGTACGTTTCTTCTATTACCTTTTTTGTATTGTTCCATTGCATGTTAATAGCAACTTCTGTCTAAACTCATTTTTAGCTTGAGTGAAGTCACCCAGTCTTCTTTATTCACCAGTAAAATACAAATAATTTTCTAAGAAATAGTAATGAGTACATAGCCCATGAATCAGAGCATCAGAATTTAAAAAGTCAAGGAGCCCATCATGGTGGGTCACACTTGTAATCCCTGAAATCTGGGAGCTGAAGAAGGAGGGTTGTAAGTTGGAGTCCAACCTGGACAACTCAGAATCTTAATGAGACCTCCTGTCTCAAGATAAAAAATAAAAAGGAGCCTAGTGACATACCTCAGTGCAAAGCTCCTAGGTTCACTTCCTAGCATATCACACACACACACACACATACACACACACACACGCACGCGCGCGCGCACACACACACACACACGCAAACAAACAATAACAGTAAAAACCCGTGTACAATCTATTACTGCAAAAGGCGGCAGAGGTCTACAATCTTAAATGACACAATCGCTTCCTTCACTAAGATTTGTTCATTTCTGAACCTGACTGGTTCAGAATATATGACTAATGTTATGACAATGCATAAGCACACATTGTCTTAATCAGTAGTAAGATAAATAGACCAGCTTAAGCAAGAGCTTTCATCTCAAAGGAAAAGATTTAGAAGCAGAAAAAAAAGATAAGGAGAAAAAAATCCAGACATTTTGTTAAATGATACAAAATAAAAACCAGAAGACTGGATGGAAATGTTTATACATCATGAAAACAGAGTCATCATCCTTAAAAAATTTTATAGCCTTTGTGTTCAGATTTAGCAGCACTTAGCTACTTTGTATAGTCTTTCCTCTAGTGATTGCTTTTATTCACAGTGAAATGGTACCGAGAAATAGATCACATATTCACTCTGCAATTCTTTTTATTTTGATACATAGGTTATGTACTATATTATTTGAAAATATTTTGGATGGTTTTGGACTAATTTTAAATTTGCACAGACCTATATGGAGTTCTTACATCTGCCTTATCCAGTGTTTATTTAGTTTATTCTTTCCTTTTTTCTCCTCTGTACTTTTACATCTGTTAAGATGTTCCTAAGAGATGTATCATAGTAGTTTCCACAATAAAATTCCAACCCCAAGGCTTTTTAATACATGATCTGCAAACTTCAGGCTATCTTAAGATTTCCAAGACTGAGACCAGCCTTGTGCCTCCTGGACCTGATTGAGATTCATCCTTCTGGAAGTCCACTTTGGCCTTTGGGGCTAGGAATTCTGGATTCTGGGATGTTCAGGGTTCTGAGTGGACACATCATCTTTCCCTATGAGG